GGCGGCAGTGCGCGAGGAGGCGCGCGGGGCGGCGGCGGAGGAGGCGGGCCGCAGGGGCGGCGGTGCGCGGGGAGGCGGCGAAGGCGGGGCGGTTGGGGGCGCAGGGGTGAGGCTGCGAAGAGCCAGGGGAGCGGCCGTCGGGAGGGTCGTGGCCTCGTGGGTGAGGGAATCCGGACGTTTTTTTTTCATTCAAATCCTCCTGTTTAGCGGTAAGACGTGGTTAGTGGCTTGGTGTTAAATATGGAATGAATCTGGGACGTTAAATCTGAGAAAGGTACGGTGCAGATTGTCTGGATCTGCCCCTCTCTTCTTTTTATAGGGGTAGTAGATAGATGTGCTGGTCGATGTCCGTTTTCGTTTGGTATCCGCGTTGAAGACCTCGGAGATACACATTGTAATACGTTACGTATTCGAAGTCGTGCTACACATAATATACGAGATTATATACTTCAAAAGAAAAACATAATATACGAGATACGGCGGAGCAAAACATACGACCCTGCGTTCCGACCGATCGTGTTTCCGTCAGTTCCCACCTCCACGGTTCCGCCCCTACCGCATCCCGCCGCCCATGGCCGCCGTCGTCTCCGACCTCGTCGACTTTCTCAACGCTTCGCCCACCGCTTTCCACGCCGTCGGTACGCGTCCTGTCCCGCTCCCCTCTCGTTTGTTCGTAACTGACGTGAAGTGAAGTGAACTGAACTGATCTGGACTGGATCTATCTCCTGCTGCTGCTTCCGGTGGGAGAAGATGAGGCGAAGCGACTGCTGAAGGCGGCGGGGTTCGAGCAGCTTTCGGAGCGGGAGGAGTGGTCGGGGCTTCAGCCCGGCCGGAAGTACTTCTTCACACGCAACCACTCCGCCATCGTCGCCTTCGCTATCGGCGCCAAGTGAGTCTGCTCTATCAACTTCCTCTCCTTCGGTTTCCCGACGCGAAATGCACACTCTTTTGTAAATGGAAAAATGAATCTAATCCAATACGATTGGGTATCGATTTTTGGTAGGTACGTTGCCGGTAATGGGTTCCACATCATTGGTGCACATACGGACAGTCCATGTCTGAAGCTCAAGCCTGTCACCAAGGTGAGCTCTTAGTTATTGATTTCAGAGCAATTGTGTCCTGAAACAACGATTGATAATGCTTTGCAGGAACAATGGTTCATGTATCATTCAGATATCCTAGTTTGCTGTTTAGTCTTACTTATTACGTGCTAGATTTTGATGATTTACTAACAGAATCTTGCTTCTTCTTTCACAGATAACCAAGGGAGGTTATCTCGAGGTTGGAGTCCAAACTTATGGAGGTGGATTGTGGTACACATGGTTTGACCGTGATCTTACTATTGCTGGTAGGGTGCTTGTGCGAGAGAAGAAGGACGGTGTGGTCTCTTATGGGCATAAGCTTGTAAGGGTGCAAGAGCCTATCATGAGAATCCCCACTTTGGCTATTCACCTAGACAGGTTGGTGATAAAAACTCTTTTTTAATACAGATATAGATATTTCAGTATTGTGAAGCCTTTGAAATTACTCCTTCATTGTGAAGCAGTTCTTTGCATCTGAGAGCTTTTTATTATGCAATGAATGAATCCTAAGATTGTTATTATGAATGAAGCCTATGAAAACAGTCAAAGGAAATGATCTTTAGATTGCAAATATTGCACTTCTGTATCTCAATTCAGTTTCTTGTGTTAACCCTTGTATCTCATGCACCATCTAAAAGACAACCTTCAATTATCCTTTGTACAACCACATAAGTTTCATACTCTTGTATAAAACTTGGGAAAACTAGTTATCATGTGTTTCCTTAAACTGAAGGGCTTTCATTATCGTGCCTTGTTACTCGGTAGTTCATCCAGTTGGATCATATTATCCAATATAGTTGAAGAGCATTTGGAGCCTATAGTTTAGAACACTATTCTGGAAGTTTCATCCTGTTCTTTTGCACGAAGAGAAATAGCTAAATATTGGTTTTGATATCTGGTCCATACTGCAATGTAAATTCGGTATCATTGTTCTCCACTTTTTGAACTTGTGTATTTGTGAAGTATTATCACTAGTTGTTTACAGATTGCAGTGCTAGATGTAGAATTAAATATTATCTTTTAGTGCTTCACCTAAGGGGTATGTGAAACTTCCTATTCAGCTTTCATATATTGCTTGAATGGAAGTTCTGAAAATGTTATATACTCCCTCTGATCGAAAGTAAGTGTCGTGGTTACCTTTAAGCTAAAACCACGACACTTATTTTGGATCGGAGGGAGTATCTAATTTGCTATGTCACAGTGCCAGTACTAAATAATCGTAGCCTCATTATGGAATTCCGTACTATAATGCAACCTATGTTTGGATTTAACCCTGGTGTTTTGTACGCTTAGTGTTATGGCGCTGCTAGAAGGAGGGCGCGAGAGGGCCGGCTGGGGGCCTTTCTGCCCACGGCCGGGCAAGAGGGAAGGGATTTCCTTCTTAATTCTTGCTTGATTAGATTGATACATCTCCTCTCTTTATATAGAGAGGTTTACTTGACTCCCAAGCAAGGCTTACTTGACCCCTAAGCAAGTGACTCTTATCTCTAATTAACCCTAAGACTAACGGGCCTATTAGGCCCATTACGTACTCTAACACTACACCCCCTGGACATGTAGCTTGTCCTCAAGCTGCAGCCTAACCAACTTATAACCATGACTCGACGCAACACAAACCTAACACCTAAAAACAAGCCTTTTACATCTCGGCTTGTTTTATTATTCTCAACCTGAAATGGACTAGGACGCTTTATTTTGGACCCCTTAACAAAAAGTGGACACCATCCGCACGTCGGACGTGCACGTGTACAGCCACCTGGATCCCATGGACACCATCTGGACAAAAGGAGTGCATGTGTAGGACCACCTGGTAGTGGTCGCAAGAGTGACCAGCAGAGGCGCCCTCGCGGCGGCCGGTGACGGAATGCAGTGGTGCTACGTGGTGCGCTGCTGTCGGTGACACCATGCCTTCTTCCTGCCGAACGGCTGTTGGTCTGCATCGCACAGGGAAGAAGATCCCCGGCGCAGCGGATGAGACCGAGGTCCTTTGCGTAGCGAAGGGCAACTTGGAGGAGCGGCAGCTGCAGACCACGCATCTCCCGCACACGCCGACGCGCTAGGAGGCCGCGCGCAGTAGCCTGCAGCCTCACCGCCGCCGACACGTGGCGGGTAGCGATCCAAGACGGAAGCGATGACGGCGACTGGACTTGGTGGAGCGGGACTCCCGCCGGCGTGGTCGAGGCGGGGCCGAAGCTGACCGGCGGTGGCTGCTGCAGCTGCGGCAGTGGCGCACCGGGCAGCGGCAGCGGCTGCTGCGGTGGAGCGCCGGGCAGTGGCAGCGGCTGCTGCGGTGGAGCGCCGGGCGCGGCGGAGGCCGCCAGGAGCGGCGGCTGCCACTGCAGCCAGGGCTGGGCAGTGGTGGCGATGGATGGCAGTTGCAGTGGCCCGGCGAGCGCGGCGAGGGCCACTTGGTGCGGCGGCTGCCATAGCAGCCACGGCGGCGCGGGGGCTGCGATGGGCGCTGGAGGCGCGGCGGGAGCCGGCGCCGGCCACTGCGGGGCGGCGGCGGGCGGCAGCTGCAGCTGGGGCAGCAGCGTCCCAGCGAATGCCGCGGAGGCCCCTGGATGCGGTGAGTACCACGGCAGGACCGGCGGTGACGGTCAGCGGCAGGGGCGGCGGCGGCCCGTAGGGGCTGGCCGGGTACAGCCGGATCCCCTGGACGGCTGTGACAAGGTCATTGAGGACCCCGATGATCTCCTCTGGGGTGTAGATGGCGGACGGTGGTGCGGTGGAGGGCGCCGGCATCTGGGCGGTGGCGGCGCCGGAGGATGCGACCAGCGGCGCGGACGGGGAGGGCAGCGGCGTGGTGTAGATGGCCAGCGGCGCGGTGGTGACGGTCGGCAGCGGAAGCGACGGGGTGGGCGGCGACGAAGACATGATCGGAACTGAGCTACCTGATACCAAATTGTTATGGCGCTGCTAGAAGGAGGGCGCGAGAGGGCCGGCTGGGGGCCTTTCTGCCCACGGCCGGGCAAGAGGGAAGGGATTTCCTTCTTAATTCTTGCTTGATTAGATTGATACATCTCCTCTCTTTATATAGAGAGGTTTACTTGACTCCCAAGCAAGGCTTACTTGACCCCTAAGCAAGCGACTCTTATCTCTAATTAACCCTAAGACTAACGGGCCTATTAGGCCCATTACGTACTCTAACACTTAGTCTGTTACAAACTCACTTACAATAATACTTCTCATGTGTCTTATTCATATTTTGCGCAGGACTATGTCCTCGGAAGGTCTCAAGATTAACAATCAGAATCATCTTGTCCCAGTGCTGGGCACATTGATTAAGGTGATTTGACTGCATTGATCAGAATCTGATCTTCGTGCTTTCAGTCAGCTTGTTTGTTATTTATTTTACTTGATGATGGGCATGATATCTTTGAGCCAAGGAATTAACTAGCATGAATTTTTTGTTATTTCACCATACTTTTCAGTTTGAAGAGGCATAGCCTCTGTATAACATCAATGTCAGTTGTTCCGCTAGGATATTGATACACCTTGTGATGTTGTATTCTCTATGTAAGAAGCAACACTTGCTTGCACATTGTGTACATGTCTTCTACTCTTCTTCATGTTCACACGTTGTGAACAAAACTGTGTAGTATCAATTTCTTCAAACGATTAATAGTGCAAAACTTCAGGCCTCTTTCGTTATCTTAGAATGCTCCACCTAGTTTATCCAGAAAATGTTAAATTTGGAAATTAATATGTTCATAGGAATGCCATTATTGTCCTTTAATTATTTGAAATTAAACTATTATGATAAAATAACCATAGAACACTTATCTTCTTTTGTTTGCTTTGAAAATTTGAACTTGATTCAAACTTTTTTTTTCTTTGCAGCATGAAATGCAGAAATTAGTGAAAGGAAATGTTCCAGGGGAGTCATCCGGTGGCGAAAACACAAAGCACCATCCACTATTGTTGCAGGTTATGTATTTCTAACATTACGTGGAGCCAAGCATTCTCACTTATTAAATATCAAGAGCCCTTGGATTTGAAAGTATGTTTTAGTTTTTACTTAATGTATGTTACTTTCATTTTTTGCAGTTGATTGCTAAAGAGGCTAATTGTGAAGTTGATGAGATCTGTGACTTCGAGCTGCAGCTGTGTGATACCCAACCAAGCGTTGTAGCAGGTGCCATGAAAGAATTCATCTTTTCGGGAAGGCTTGACAACCTTTGCATGTCATTTTGTTCACTGAAGGTTTGTTTGTCCATTTAAGTTTTTGCATGTAGACTATGGAGACCATATTTGCATATTCCACATGTTTTGAAAGTACTAAAATTCTTTTCATCTCACACTATTTCAAATATTTTTGCATACATGTGTCTCTCTGTTGAACCCCATCTCCACTTGTCCCATAAGGCCCAGCCCATGTGACTGACCTAGATGAGGAGGTGCTGGCCTCGCTCTGCGCCGCGACTGCTGGAAAAGAGCATGATGTTGGTTTAGAAAGGGTTGAAGGGGCTAGGACTCGGAAGGAATCAGATGCGGGCTTCGTATCGGGCGGAGCAACCTCCCAGCAGTGCGACGGGGTGTGCTGCCCGAGTCGAGGAAGACGGGCTCCCAGGGGTTGTCCTTCGGCTGGGAGTCAATTGGGGGTGTGCAAAGGTGGTGGGGGTGCTTGGGTGGTGCTCTGAGTGGTTGGAGGTAGCTCTCCACGGATGATGTCCGGTTGTTGTGCGCGGGGCGACGGGGAGGCTATAATTTGGGTGCCCTAGTCTGGGGGGTGAGCAGGGGTATCTTATTTTTAGATCAACAGGGAGAGAACTCCGCGGCTCCATTTACTCAGAAATGAAGCCTGCCAGCAGGTCCATACAGCGAGAACAGGTACCAGTAGTATCAGGCAAACAAATGCCAAAACAAAAAACCTAACCCAAAAGCCAACAAAGGCATACAAAAGTCCAACGAAAGCTATGACGATCAAAGCATTAGGATTTTCAGAGATCACGACATCTATGAGGGCACGATAGCTAGGAGATTGGCATCACAGG